ATTTTTGGAACATAAGAATTCGTACTCCTAAAGAAAGCCACAACGCAACACGGATTCTGATGCAAATTATCTATAAGAACTTGAAAAAGTTGGAAGAAATTGGTAATTTGGATCACAAGAAAGGAGCTGTTTGTCTAAAAAAATCACCCCTAATATTGCATGGTACATCAGTCAGAATAGAAGCCAAGACTCCACTATTTCTCTGTGTTCTATAGAGACAAAATTGGCTGTAAAAGATGTAAGACCTCACATACAACAATTGCAGCACACTTGGCAAGTCCTGGTTACAATAAAAAGTTACCACAGTTCACCCCAATGTTAACTGAAGCCCATAAACAACAACAAGTAGAATGGGTGTGAAAGCACTTAGAAAATGACCGGAATAAAACAATATTTACTGATGAGACAGCATTCCAGCTCTTTGGGAATACTGTTGAAAGATAATACAAGAGTAAGCGACCTGTATGACGGATATCCAAAAGATCATATATACTAAAATATTTGCATGGGGAGGCTTTTCTATAAAGGATAAGACCAGCCTCTTTTGTTTCACAAATATTATGAATTCGGAATTTTATGTTGAAATTCTAGAAAACCATATTACTGAGATTTGAGAACTAATGGAGATGCATTGCGGCTTCGACAGGATAATGACCCAAACACACTAGCTGTCTTTCCCAATCATTCATTAGTGAGAATGTCCCCAACATTATTGACTGTCCAGCAAACAGTTCTGACTTAAATCCTATTGAGAATCTCTCGGATATTGTTAAGAGAAATGTTGAAAAGAGAATGCCAAAAAATCAGCAGGACTTAAATCGTTTTATGGTTGAAGAATGGAATGCCATTCCAAAAAAACATGTTAATCAATTTAGTAAAATTGATGAAACAAAGATGCGAATTAGTTATAGAGAATAATAAAGAAAGCAATCAACATGATTAATACTTCATCTGGTAACTTGAGTATGAGTTATTTATTGATAAATTTTTAATATGATATTGCTACAGTGGTTGTTGTATAGTGATCAAATATGTAATTGCCAATAATTTCTTTACATGCTGTATTCAGGATAATGAAAAACAACTTACACTAGACAGTTTCATTTAATAATAATTTATTTATTTTACTATGTATATATGTTATACACGGATTTATCTGTGTTCCTAAAAAAAAAAAAAATTAATCTTGTTATATGGGACTTTTCAATTTATCTATAATAAGTCCACTGTAAAGAGATTTTTCTTTATAGTGGAAATTCGTTATAGTGGACAAAAATGCCTAGAATCAAATTTCCATTATAACGAGCTTTGACTGTACATGAAAAATTGCTATGTTCTTTGAAGAATGTTTTTAATGACCTTATCATATTCTGGATAAAGCAAGTAGATATCATATCAGATAAACTAAAGATACTCCAAAAACGTGTTAGCATTTTTTATATGAAAATGATTTCGACAAAAAAAATTTAAATGTATACTATTATCCCACTGTTGGATTGCTGTCCTTCTAGGATTAGTTTTTTGTCAGTATAAATTCTTTGCAGCAACTCTCCTTCAATGAGTCTTTATTAAATCATTGCTTGAAATTCTTCAAAAGATTTCCTATTCCTTGCGAATATTTTTTATCATCAATAAGTTTGTTTGATTCATTTCCATTTTTTATTTGTATCATAGATCTGGAAAACATTTTGGGTTGCATGTATAATTATGGTTGATTGTTGATAAAGATATTGGTTGGATTTTGCAAGAAACTTTTTACCTATTAATAATTTTTATTCTTATTCTTAAGACCAAGTGTTAAATAAAATGTTCTTGATCTGTTTATATTGGATTTAAAATTCCTGAAATATGCCCGCATATGTGCAAAATTGGCGACAGCAAATCAAATTTTAGAGCATTTTGCACGTGGATTCTCAAAAAAACTAAATATATATTAACACATAAAGTCAAGCCTTTTACTTTTTTTAAAAAGTTTTATAAGAAATAAATAATTCTTTCCAAATTTGTTTGAAAAAAACCACATCTTTTGCGAATTCATTATAAAGACGATGTAACCTCTTTTCTTACAAGAAAATTTAATTATAATAATGTGGGAAGATTTTTTTCTTAAATGGTATTTAGTATGAAAGAGTGGAAAGTAGTAGTAATATATATTGTTACTTGTTCGGGTTAATAGAGATAACTAAATTTAAATCCGCCAATCAACTTCCGAAATTTGATTTAGGCACATAATTTTCCCAAAAATTAAATTTTAAATTTAACGTCGATTACTAATACATTTCTGGTTAGTTTTTTTTAATTTGTTAATATTATTCATACAAACCAAAGTAATCCATTCAACATTCAACAGTGATATTAAAGAATGGTTTCGAAAACTTATTAGTTTTTCCTTTAATTAAGGATTAACTAGTCAAGAAGGAATGCAGAAGAACAAAAAACAACCAGCAAATCTTGTATTTTGCGCTGGACGAGCAAGTAGTTTTATTCATTTAGTTGGAGATATAGTACATAGCAAAAAAATAAAATTTAAAGTAGCTAATAACGATCCTTGGGAATAGAAGTTAGCATATTATTAACGTATAAAAAAAGGCATTGCTAACAGGAGAATGACCAGAGCAACGTATCGAATTGTCGAGATAGGATTAGACAAACCTTCATGCGTTTTACTAATATAACAGTTTTGTCGTAAGAAGCCATAACGAAGCTTTCATTTTTGATATACAAAATTATAAAGATGCCATATATTTATATACATGTCAAACCGTGCTTTTTCTAATGTACGCTTTTTATATAATTTGAAAAAGTTGATTTTTTGGATCTTTACGATGAAAATACGATTTCAAATTCACTCTTCAAAGGGCTCTGAATGCATTTTCTAGAGCAGTGTTTGAGGAAATGAAGAACCAAAGAAGCCGATTAAATTATTTGTGGATGTAACCCAATTTGTTACAAATGATTCCAGTGCGAATTGAATTAATATTAATGAAAAAGCTATAATGGCAATCATTACCATAAAAATGAAGAAATTTTAGTTGGGGGCAAGACAATTACGATTCATAAAAGTAAAGATACAGTGATGAAGAATTATTAATGAATTATACATGTGAAAAAAAGATTATCTGATATTAAAAAATTTATTTGTGACATTAAATATTAATAAATGTGATTAATCCCATACAATGATAATCGCATGTCTTGGACATTCTAATGCTCATTATAGTAACCATATTCAATAAAATTTTAATGGATAGGATTTAACTATTTCTTGAGCTGGCAAAGAAAGCTATTTAATGATTTGACAATTAATAAATAATACAATTTCTGCGTTATTATTTCTTGCTGTTTTATTGTAATTGTGACTTGTAGTAAAGAAAAAATCCAATTAAAAAACTTTATGTTCTACTTATTTGAGAACCTTAGTTATCCTTAATAATTGTTTTCTTGATTTTTTTTTTTTTTTTTTTTTTTCTT